TGCTACATGCAACATGGAGTGTGCACATGCCACGTGCAACATGCTACGTGCAACATAGAGCATGCACATGCTACATGCTACATGCAACATAGAGCATGCACACGCAATGTGTAACATGCTATGTGCAACATAGAGCATGCACATGCTACATGCTACATGCAACATAGAGCATGCACACGCAATGTGTAACATGCTATGTGCAACATAGAGCATGCACATGCTACATGCTACATGCAACATAGAGCATGCACACGCAATGTGTAACATGCTATGTGCAACATAGAGCATGCACATGCTACATGCTACATGCAACATAGAGCGTGCACACGCCACGTGCAACATGCTATGTGCAGCGCGGAGCATGCACACGCCACGCGGGGCCTGCACACGCCGGCTGCAACACGCTACATGCAACGCAGAGCCCTTCCCTGCAACGCGCCGCCGTGCAACACGGAGCAGGCGTCCGCGCCGCGTGACACGCGGGGGGGTGGCGGGAGGACACGGGCCGGGGACACGGGAACCCGCCCTGACGGCTCCCGTGTTCCTGCGTGTTGTTCGTTGCGTGTTGTCCTGTGTTCCCGCCCTACGTGTTGTCCCGTGTCCCCTCCACCCCGTGTCCTCCCCTGTGCACGGCTGTGCACGCTTGCACGTGTGCTGTGTGCGTGTGGCCGTGCGTGGCGTGTGCGTGGCGTGTGCGTGGCATGTAAACCGCATGTGTGTGCTGCATTGCGTGTGGGCACTTGCGCGGTTGCGTGGCGTGTGCATGCCATGTGCGTCCCGTGTGCATCCCGTGTGCGTGCCGTGTGCGTGCCGTGTGCGTGCCGTGTGCGTGCCGTGTGCGTGCCGTGTGCGTGCCGTGTGCGTGCCGTGTGCGTGCCGTGTGCGTGCCGTGTGCGTGCCGTGTGCGTGCCGTGTGCGTGCCGTGTGCGTGCCGTGTGCGTGCCGTGTGCGTGCCGTGTGCGTGCCGTGTGCGTGCCGTGTGCGTGCCGTGTGCATGCTCGATGCATGCCGTGTGTGTCCCATGTGTGTCCCGTGTGCATGCCGTGTGCATCCTGTGTGCATGCCATGTGCATGCCGTGTGCATCCCGTGTGCATGCTGTGTGCGTCCCATGTGTGTCCCGTGTGCAT